AGCAGGAGGTTCTGGGGCTTGATGTCCCTGTGGCAGATACCCTGCGAGTGAATGTAGGCGAGCGAGCGGAAGAGCTGGTAGATGTACAGCTTGACTTCGAGGATGGGCATAACCGACTTCATCTTGTTGAAGTAGCGCGAAGCACGGTACACGGTCTCGGGAACGAACTCAAGAACGAGATTCAGGTACACCTCGTCTTTCTGTGGCTGAAACGGTTAGCTACACGAAATGCACGCACGCGCTTGCTTGCAGACACGTACCCGCTCGCCGTTGTTGTAGAAGAAGGCCTTGAGCTCGACAATGTTGGGATGTCGGACAATGCGCATAATCTGGAGTTCGCGGTTCTGCGGGGGTCAGCTGGGGCTGCATGTCATGATGGCGCGCAGACGCACCTTGAAGCGCTTGTCTTGCAGGACACGCTTGATGGCCGCATCTTCACCACTAGGCGACAGCTTGGTCTGGAAGACGACGCCGAAAGAGCCGTTGCCGACAATCTTGCACTGCGTGTATGCGAGGTCCTTGTAGTCGCCGGTCAGGCCGTCCTGGACCTTTTCGCGGATAACTTCTGCGGGAGGGTGAGCATGAGGCCAATTACGCGGCGGGATCACGGGGGGCACTTACCACCCATTCTTAGCGATGAGAAGGCCGATGGCCGGTTCTGGCTCATTGTTTGGTGTTATGCGTGTGGGAGGGGCTCCGGCAGCGCTGCGCGGATTGCTGGGGAACTGGAGGGCGGGCGGCAGGGCAGTTGAGTGTGGGCGAGGAGTGGTGTCGGGCGGGCTGAGGCGGAGCAGATAGGGTTGTAGGCGCGAGGTCGAGTGTCAAGAGGGCGTGGTCCCGCGTGCCGTCTGTGCAGTACCAGGTGACGCTTGTTGTGGCTGACGGAGCTAAGGAACAAGGAAGGCGCAGGTCGACCCCTCAGCAACGATGCTCGGGCGGCAGTCACAGCAGGTGGTGGGAAGGGGGTGAAGGAGAATTGAGGGCGGAGATGGAGAGCTTGTGAAGGTGCGAGGAAAGGCGACGATGGGGTTGAGTGACGGCAGTGCTGGGGATTAAGGGCGGGGCACTGCTAGTGCGAAATTGGGTGCCAACGTGATCAGAAGGCCTGCAATTCACCTACTTGTCAGCGCAGACCAGCCCAGCGGCGTCTAAGCTGCTCGAGGGAGCAGCGTACAGTAATCGCCCGGTGCAGGAATCACGGACCTGCAGGAAACGGGGGGATGGGATAGGATGCAGATGATAGCTTCTCGTGGAGCCTTATAGTAATGTAATACACAGGGCTGCTCTGGCGGCGGCAGGAGCATGCGAGCGCGCCTGCTTGAAACAGACGTCAGCACACGACAGTGAGTGTGCTCTGCCAGCCGTCGCCAGCGGCCTCACATACGACATCGCCAACATTCAACATGACCATTGCGTCTGCAGCTGCGGACGCCGGCCTGCACGTGAGGCATCAGATTTCTTCCCAGCACGCCGTCATGCCGCCTGAAATGAGCTGCACCCACTTGCTCGCTGGCGCGTGGCTGAGACGCACTCCAATCATGGCCGGGCCTTGCTGTGCTTATACTAACCTGGCCGTACGAGCTGTGAATACCTGCCCGGCGATAGGCTGCGCGGCTCTAGCAGGCAGTGAGTAGCTGCTATACTGCGTTTGACATGCGACGACCGTTCGTTCCCATTGAGACGTTATGGCCTGAGCAAGACCCTCTTTCCTCTCCAGGGCCCACGACGCCTCTGCCCTTAGCGAGCGTCGCTCAACACTGTGCGAATGCTCGACTCCGTCAGCCAATTCCATGCTGCGGACGCCTGAGCGCCCGCGGCAGCAATTTCATGCACCGCGCTGTTCGAGCAACCACAACCTTGTCTTTGTTTGCACCACCGCCCGTCAATCAAAGCCGCCGCCGCCGCACTTTCGTGTCCACGACGTACCAGGACTCTCGCGAGAGTACAGGGGTCGGTAGCCGCAGAAAAGTCTTCCGACTGGCGTTGAAGAAGCTGATATCCGACTCAACAATATGGCTTTTTCCAAACTCTGACCGCACCCTTGCGGCCTGCTGCAAAACCAAGTCCCCCTGCACGCCGCCCTGTCGCCTCGTCCTGCTGCATCGTCATTCTGCTCGAGGCCCCGGCCACGCCCTCGTGGCCTGCAGCTCCACTTGGAGGGCAGCTGATGTTCTCTCGCGCCCTGGTCCTGGCGCCCCCCTCTTCGTCTACAGCCGAATGCCCGGGCGACCCAGAGGCGTGGCGTGTTATTGTGGTGCATATCCTTTCACAGCCGCCCAGCCCAGCGACTCACTATGCCCTTCTGGTCTCGTGAAATGCCACTCCACCGTTTGTGCACGCTTCCATCTTGACCGGCAGCCAGCTGCACCAAGCGGATGCGCATCAAGTCAACGACACCGCTGCTCTCGGATGTCCAGGGCCCACTGGCCGGTGTGAACCACTGCTCGGTGCGGGTTACACACGCGCACCTTTAAACCCGAATCGGCCGCACTTGCAGCAACCGACATCGTTGCAAACTATTCATGACGCTTGTGTTCCCCTCTTCGCCTCTCCCGCACTTGGTGCTGCAAGGCACGTGCAAATCGCGCGCGCAACATGTTCCAGGCGCCGCCAACAGCCATGCCTCGAACGACGATGGACATCACGTACAAGTCCATCTGCAGGCTACTGAGATAGATCGGGCTGAAACAATTCCTACAGATTTTGCATTTGGCGCTTGCTGTGTGGGTAGGCTAGTCGAGCTACACTATCGATGCCCGACTGCCGCTCATACGTCAACATGCAGTGAGCATGCCGTTCGGAAATCCGACCCACCCTATTGGCTTTGGTCATGTGACTTGAGGGCTCTCGACGGCGATATTCCCAGCCGCTGCAGACGACCGCTCGACCTTGAGAATGGCCAAAACCAGTGTGATGTGCCCCACTATTGCCGTCATTACTACCCATCCTCACCCGTTCCACTCACGAGCAGTCCAGGTTCTCTTCGAGCCCGAGCTGGGCGCAAGCACACTCTCTGAATCCGTCACTTGACGTTTGCTCAAGCTCACTACGACCCAAACCGTTCCTAACATGAAAATAGATTACTGGTCCCGAGGAATCGTAGATCAAGCCCATGAAGCACCACATCGATCCACAGCAACACTGTGTGACGAAGCCTCCCGCTCTGTCTCAGATCTGGTGGCGGGAGTCCATATGTAAAGCGACGGACAAGAATACGCAGGCCTAGACATCTGGACTTTATCAGCCTGTCGAACTTGGATACGATACGATCTGCGCGACCACGATATGTACCCCCAATCCACTTAAAGTAGAGCACGCATATGGACTTCAGCCTTACGGAGTATCCGGCCGACTTGTCATACCCGACGATCGGACTATGCCGGTCCACCTATATGGTTGAATATTCGGAGATTTTCATCGCTGATAGCGCGCAACCATGCGGTACAGGATGAGCACCTATTTTAAATGAAGACAATAGAGTATGCACGATGGTTGTACCACGAGCTATATTCGGCTACCGACATCGGCCGGAGACCTCGCCACACTCGTCTGCAGCTGTCATGTCGGATCCGTAGCAGCCCACTCAACATCGTGGTTACATTGTCACGGTTGAGCGCACACATCTCATGCATTCATCCGGTTCTGCACCAGAATAGCGACACGCAGCTGTCCGGGCGGATGATACCATTCTGTCAGTTAACTCGTACGCCCAAGACTATTATTGGCCCTATCTGGTGTCTGTGTACACCACAAGCAGGCGGGACGACCTTCTCAGACACCATTTGGTCGTTGTAGGAAGCATTCCGCGGGTACACATCCGCGCTCACCGACAGAAGTGTAACCCTCATCTTCCAAAGTCTAACAATTCTTTACCAGGCTACTGGCACTGCTATTGCATCAATTGACCCACGGTCTGGTGTCTTGGCACTAAGAACAGTTACACAATACGTTTTACTCGTTTCCTACAACATACCCGTTTGATCCGGTCTGCGACAAGCAACCCTTCCGGAATTGAAGCCCAGCAACGAGGACCGAGCAACGTTATAGCCTTGCGATTTATGTCACCGTTACAGGTCTATCCTCATCACAAGCTGTACGAGGTAGCACCCTTCACATCTCACTACTACGTTGCTATGAGAGTTAAACAACGTATATCCGACTTCAGCTACATCTCAAAACTGCGACGTGGAATCAGAATAGAGTCGCTCACGTTTCTCTCCGACCCAACGACTAGTCACTGCTGACTATCAAAATTCATTGGGTCAGGTTACACTTCAAGTCGTGATCTTCTGAGAATTTCCGATGGAATGTCAGCATACAATCAAACCTCAACCAAAGTACATCGTAACATAGATAAGACAGCGTGGGAAGAACCACAAAGGACTCCCGGAACCCCTTCACTACTGGTATGGAAACCGTTCATTGGCTGGTCTTGAAAGCCAGAACTCCTCTGGATCCAGCTTCTCGGCTCTCAAACGCTCCTCAAGCACCTCATCACTAACGGTCCTTCTTCCCTCCATAACCTGCAGCAGGCCCTTATAATAAGAATCCCAATAGTCCTCCAACTCAACATCACGGTGTCCAAACCATATATCCGTCAACTGCCGTTCCTCAATCATTTCTTCATAAACACGCATGCGTCCTATATCCCCTACGTCCCACGTCTCCCAACCAGGGACTTGAAACACAATGCTCTCCTCATCCTCGAGGATATGGTGTTCATTGTGAAGAGTTAACCCAAGCTCCTCTCCGCCTTGATGAACGAAACGTGAGAGGTCAAAAGGACGTTTGGAGGAATACGCTTTGTAGCAGCGACCCTTAGTATGTTGTTCGCGATAACGACGTCGACAGTATTCTTCATCCCACAAGAGAGGATATTCATACTTCCGGTAAGCCGCCAACACAGCCCTCCGCTGCCAGTGAAAATGTTTACGCAAGTAATGGTATACAGCTGCCATCTCCACCCTCGGCTCTACATCCCCTCCCAAAGTAGGTACAAACTATCCAAGAAGCTTGTCCCGGAATGTCCGCATCACCATTTCCTCAGTAAAGAGCCTGGTGAAGAGTTCTCTCCAAGCGAAAGAAAATTCCCACGGCGAGGCATCGGTGTTGATGGATAGATTGGGGATGACAACAGAGCTCCTTATACCGCCTTTTGAGTAGCCTTTGTTCAACGTGCCGTTGCCGAAGTGCACGATGATGTTGGAATCGAATTGCTCCCAGGGATGTCTTTCGATGTTTCCTGTGGCGTGTTCGTACCAGTGGTTGGGCATGTCGGTGAGACGAAGACCGGTACGTTCAGTAAATACCACGATATCTGCACCGTTGTTCCTTGAGGCATCTTTCTGGAGGGTGCGAGGCGGTGTGGGGGCTGTGAAATTCACGAGGGGGCATGAGCCATAGTCATGTGGGATTTCGAATGATAGCTTGGGGACCCAGTGGGCGAGGAAATGTTGCTCGAGGTGCGCTTTGTGGTGGCGGGTTATGTGGCGTAGGTTTGTCCATTGGTAGGCTGGGTCGTGGGAATGGAGGGTGATGAGGGTGGTGATGATTTGGTCGATGGGCTCGCGGGGGAAAGCCGGCTACGATGTCATTGCTAGCAAACATGGATTGAAGATGTGGCTACTGGGCGGGTACATGTCTAGGTGTTCGACTAATAGGCTTGTAACTGCTGAAGCGCGATGAGTCAATTATTGATACATACTCGTGTTATGATCATAGAGTCAATGACCTCTCTAACTAGATTTAATGGATTCTCTAACGGCAATTGCATGAGTGCTGTGATGACCCATATGAATTCCCATAGCTACGTTGATGTACGCATGCGTTCATATAGCCTCTTGCGGAGGTTGGACTGTGCGCCACGCGTAACGGTGGCGTCGCGTCCATTGCAGCTATCGCCAAGTACAACCGCAGCATCTACAACGACATGACCATCATCAATGCCTCGGCCAACGATACCCTTTTCAAAGATACGTTTGCCATCGGCAAAGCACCTAGGCATCACGTCTGCGTGGTGTGAGACAGCCAAGTTACGAGGTCCAAAGCGGAGGTGGTGCATCCCGTACCTCGGCAACTCTTAGCTCCCAACATCAATGACCGAAGCAGTAGCCACGGACGACTCGTCTCCGCATCTTTTGTTAAACTACCCCGGATTTCCTCTCTGAACCCTTCTTCCCTACCTCATCCTCTCTTCATATCACGCAATCATGTCTGTACCGTACGACCGCGCCTACGATCTGCTTAGCAACAGCAAGGATGGCCATATCTCCGCCTCACAGCGCATTCCCGTCATCGCGCGGCCTTTTGTCAGCGAGAGGGCGGCGAAGACACTCGACCTTGTAGGTGACTTGGCAAGCTCTGGATAACTACATGCTAACTGTTCATAGGTAGAGAAGTTCGTCGAAGAAGAGTGCATCCCCGCCGACGCCGTATACGTTCGCCAGATTGGCCAGACCGTCCAAGAGCGCTTCTCGTCACATCCATCCATCATCGAAGACCTGAAGAAGAGGGCACAAGAGCTTGGACTATGGAACATGTTCCTGCCCAAGGCACACTTCAAGGAGGGTGCTGGCTTCAGCAACCTGGAGTACGGCCTCATGGCTGAGTACCTGGGCAAGAGCCGGACCGCTTCCGAGGCTGTCAACTGCGCTGCTCCCGATACTGGCAACATGGAGGTTATTGCCAAGTATGGTACCGAGGCACAGAAGAGGCAGTGGCTGGACCCGCTGCTGAGGGGCGAGATTCGCTCTGCGTTCTTGATGACAGAGCCTCAGGTTGCGTCGAGTGATGCTACCAACATTGAGATGACTATCAAGAAGGATGGTGACCATTACGTCCTGAACGGCCAGGTCAGTTACCCTTTGTCCCTCCTTCCTTTACCACGTTACTAACAACCCTCAGAAATGGTGGTCATCCGGCATTGGCGACCCTCGCTGCAAGATCTTCATCGTCCTCGGAAAGACCGACCCCAACAACTCAGACAAGTACAAGCAACAATCCGTCATCCTCGTTCCCAACACCACCCCCGGTGTCACAGTCCACCGCATGTTGTCAGTCATGGGTTTCGACGACGCACCCCACGGCCACGGCCACGTGACCTTTGAGAACGTCCGCGTCCCCGCCAGCAACATGGTGCTCGGCGAAGGCCGCGGCTTCGAAATCATCCAAGGCCGTCTCGGACCTGGACGTATCCACCACGCCATGCGCAGCATCGGGTCCGCCGAGAAGGCGCTAGAATGGTTCCTCGCCCGCATCAACGACGAGCGCAAGAAGCCGTTCGGCGAGCTCCTCAACAAACACGGCATCATGCTCGAGCGCGTCGCACGCTCCCGTATCGAAATCGACGCCGCCCGCCTCTCCGTCCTCAACGCCGCCATCAAGATCGACGAAACAAACGCCAAGGGCGCGCTTAAAGAAATCGCCGAAGTCAAGGTGCTCGTCCCTGAAGTCAACCTCAAGGTTATCGACTGGGCCATGCAGGCCTACGGTGGTGCAGGTGTGAGTCAAGATACCCCGCTTGCGCAGATGTGGTCGAGTGGCCGTACGATGAGGATCGTGGACGGACCCGATGAGGTGCATCTGTTGCAGCTGGGTAAGAATGAGAATAAGAGGGGTCTTGCGCATAAGGCGAGGATTGAGGCGCAGCAGAAGAAGGGCGAGGAGCTGTGTAGGCAGTATGGGATTGAGCCGAGGGATCCTTTGTACCTTAACAGGACGAGTGGGGAGGCTAGTAAGCTGTAGATGATCGTCTTGGTTGATCAGACAGTGCTGCAATGATGATGAACTTGCATTCAATCTGCTGGCTGTTGTGAACATTATCTGTGATGCGTCTGTTGAATGCTCGGTTTACTTTATGCTATGGGTGTTCGAGCTCTTCGATTTAGGCTGCTTGGGATCGGTGATGAGGGTTGTTGCAAAGGTTCACTCAAAGCCGCTCGTACGACAAATTGCAATGGGTCGCTGATTGGGTTCACCTAGGGTTGATGACAAGCTATAGGAACCAGACGATGATCATTGAACTCTGGCGTCGCGAAGACACGCACACAGCAGAGTGGGTAAGCGATGGGCATATATTACGTTCGCTACTTAGTATAAGGAAATCATGTTGAGAACAGTGTCGTTTTGATAGAAGAAAGTGATCCAAAACGCCCGTGAGACCAATTTGTCATCGCCTTACTGGCTTGTCTGATGTTGAATGATCGACTATGAAAGCCATACGAATAGAGAAAGAAAACAGGCTCAATGGGAACCCCCTCGTTCATGAGAACAAGGTTCCAAAGTCTGGCATCTCAGATCCAGCCCACTGTCCACCCATGTTGATGAAACTCGTTTGTTGGCTCGCTACGACCCTAGCATGTAGTTCGTCAGCGAGAGCTTTCGCAGCGTATTGCCGATTATCTTCTGCCAGAATAACGGCGCGTCGATGTTGTTCGTTGTCGTTTGCAAGAAGATCCGCGCCTTTGCTAACAAGGAATCTCATCATCTCGACGCGACCATGTTCTGTGGCGCCTTCAAACGCCGTTCTCCCGTCGCAAAAGGCCGGTGGGGCGTTGACATCGGCTCCTGCATCTAATAAAATACTTGCAATGTTGACATTTCCCGAAATTGCGGCTAGCTGAAGGGCTGTTGCGCCTGATCGGGTTGATGGCGGCTCGTTCGGATCGACTCCGTGGCCTAGGAGGTACTCTACGATTTCCTGACTTGCGACCTGTGCTGCTGCCTGTAGTGGTGTCCGAATGACGCTTCCCATGGCTGGTAGCGATATGTTTGCGCCGGCTTGATGCAGCTTATGAACCGTCTTTAGAGAATCTAGGTAAATTGCAGAGAGTAGACAGGTCATGTTGCCGCGTTCAGAGTCTCTGTACACCACAGTGCTGTGGTCCTTGACCATAGACAAAAGGAGTTCAAACATTGCGTCGGCACCGTTGCCTTCAGAATGGAGACGTATCGCTTCGCCAAGTGGACTGGTCCATACGGTATTCGATTCGAAACGGCGACCATCGAAACAACTTCGCCCGTGATCTTTCGCGACAGGCCCAGAAAGATTGATGTGGAAGGCAAAAAGACTGAACAGCCGCGCGTTCTTACTTCGTATTGTCTGGTATAGAGCATCGCAGCCATGATTCTTTGCACCATTTGGGTACCGACTCTGGAAAGCATGTAGCAGCACCGCGCTGATTTCTGGCAGGTCAAGTACAGCGCACACGAAGAGGGCACTGTTGTCGAATGGGTCTGCCCCTATCTGCAACAACTCTTCAATCAGGGCAATGTTCTTTTTGATGGCAGCAGCGGTAAGAGGCGTCAAGATCATTGTTTCTGATGGTGATTCAGTCCGAAAAATACCTCGATAAGATGTAAGTCGCGAGTGATACAGAACAGCTTGTGTACCATGAGCCATCAAATCGCTTACTAGAGTCATGTCGTCTTTCAATATTGCCGCGCTGAGGGGTGTAAGATACCAGGACGCATCGCGCCCACGCGGATGTAAGCCTGGATCTAGGTTCCATCCCGGGAACTGCTTGTAGTTCACGTGGAAAAGCGCGTTGACAGGGAACTCAAGCGAGAGTATGTGACCGATGGCCGTTCGATTGCCCCATCGTAGAACCTCAAATAGTATACTATTCGCGTAATACTGTTCGTCCTGATAAGGCGGAATTTTGCCGTTACGAATCTCCGTCTCAACCGTAGCGGTCAGGTCGAAACAATTGGCCAGCATCCTCACAGCTGTCAACTGCTTGTTTCCGATTGCTAGTTCAAGACACCGTGTCGTCGGTTTGACCCCCACAGACAGCAGCTTTTCGATAATATGATGTTGGTCTTCTTCTAGGGCAGTCTGAAGCGCTTCTTCTATTCCTGGTAATTTTCCCGGAAAGCTTTCCAGTGCCAGAAGCTGTTCGATGAGAGTGCTGTTGCCAACTTTACACGCTGCTACAAAAGCCGAGACAAAGCCGGCCGGTTGATCGGACAACTTCTCGATAAATCCTTGCTCTTGTAAAATTCCAAAAGCTTCTGTCGATCGACTCGTGACTGACTCACCTAGAGCCGTACAGGTCTGATCCCGATGGTATATCGCATCGTATTTCCGCCAATAAATAGTCGATCTCTCGACATACGGTCTCGATCGCTGGGCATTAGGGTCCACACCACATTTCAGAAAGTCTTTGACGAATCTCAGATCGTTCCTTCGTACAGCACTGATCAAACAGTGGACATTTGGTTTTGCTCCTGAGGTAAGCAGAATAGCACATGCGGATGAGTGGTTGCGTAGTACCGCAACAGCGAGCGATTCCGATAGTACATACTCCCAAAGTTCTTGATGGCTAATATAGTCAGATGACGCTCGCTCAATGATAGTGTTGATTATGCTGGAGAGTGAATCATCCCAGTCTTGTCGTAGAAGAACTATCGGTAAACCTTCGTAGATGAAGAATGCGTTGAAGCTCTGATCTAGACATGAGGTGACTAGAAGCTGCAGTTCATCCAAGTTGCAACTTTCCATTCGTGCCACAGCTGAATCTGGATCGATGTTTAGACCCCGAGCAATCAACAGCCGTAAGATAGGGACTCTTGAAATGGAAAACTGTTCTTGGGCCTTCCATGGCCTGAACCCAACACTGGTTAGGAATGATCTGCCCTTTTGCCGGTTGGGATCAGCGCCATGATCAAGAAGAACTTCCGTTGCCTGAATATGTCCATAGAGACTCGTGTACTCCAATGGATAGTAATGGGATTCTCCAAGTAATACAGATCGATTTACGAGACTACCTGAGTCTATGCTCAGGATTCCATTCAGAATTGCTCCGTCCCCTAGGAATAGCGCTGCTCGGAACACACTCTGTATTAAGGCCAGATGGTAGGGTATTTGAGTAGACTCGATGATACTGCTGAGAACAGTGGGTCCAAGAGAGAAGAAGTGCTTTATCCCTGCCTTGAAAAATCGGTCGAGTTCCGTTTTCGGCTTGTCAAGTGTACGAACAACGTCGTCATGGTTGATCAGGTGTTGGAGGACCATGTATACGACCTGATGATCGATGCTCTGTTCGCGAAGAAGGGGCAGCGCGCTCGGATGAGACATGCTTATGATGGCAGATTCAATAGCAGCGCTGTTGCCGAAAAGGATCATGTGAGCTGCCAGTGAAGCTCTTGGAAATAGGCGCGAGATAACAGGTATCATCGAGGTTGCAAAATCCGGTACAGCAAGATCGCTTAACAGGTCTGTCGCATGTGATGGAAAGCTGTTTAGGACGTCCCAAGCGGAGTCGCACAGTCCATATACACTTGGGGTCGCATCGTAAGATGATGTATGATTCTGGGTAAAGATTGATCCAACTTCGCAGCGAAACACGGGAAATGGAATCGTGACACTAGACATCGAGACCGATGAGAGATCCTGCCTTAGGCTACTTGAGGTTGATGAGACGAGGCCGAGCGCTCGAGGACTGAGCGGAGCGGATTGAATAGCAGAGCGATGGGGAGAGGAGGTCCTTATCGCAATGTTGCGGAAATTGACCTCAGGTGCTTCGATATGTCCCTCCGTATTCAGATCGTCCCCTTCGTAGCCTTCAAGTATCGATGCTTGGTTGTTTCGATCATGTGCAGATGCGTATTTGAAAGAACGCCATTTCTTGAGCTTCGTCTCGTATTGTGCCTTGCTGCCGTCAGGTCAACGTTGCGACCTAAAGTGAGACGAAGGTTTTAGTCATGCACTCACGTTGCAGAGAAACCATGTTGGAAGTACATGATATCTTTGACACCACCAGGAGCTGTCAGGGGCCTATTTTCTGAAAGATACAGGCGCAAAATGGTGGATTTGTGCCGGTCCCATATCTGGTCGGGAATGCGTCGCGAGTATCTGTTCTCCGGCATGATTAGGGCGGATAAAACTGTTGAAAGACTCAAGGTTCGATCGACGCGCGCAGAAGCATCGATGTGAGCGCAAATATGAAGATGAGAGGAAGAAGAATGTTTGAACACCAGGCTGATAGCGGGGCACTTGTCGGATACGTGAGGGACTGCATCACGTGAATGGCGCCTGCCAGCCCTGGGTCCTGTTGGCAAAATCCGATTTCAGCCACATCGTGCATGCATGCCTAACCAATGGTATCTGCAGTACTTACCGATATATGCAATGTATATAACAGAATCTGGTTTGAAGCTCACACCGGTGGTTGATTCGTCGAAACTGCAACGACTGCGCCTGCTCAAATGAGATTTCGGCACATGCAGCCTGTTCAAAATCAAATTCCGACATGCTGAACCTCGTCGATTCGAGATTCTAACGTGTGTAGCCTCGTACATTCAGGATCTCGGCACGCTCAGCCTCTGCCAAATGGGATTGCACCACACCTAGCCTGATCTGTATCGCGACGCGAAGCTGAAATCCTAAACACCAGCTGCTTTCGTCAATTCTGAACATGAGAACTATGGCAGAAATCTGCTTTCCCAGCATATATGATAGACCGGCGAAGACGTTGATGCACCCACCAACGCGCACATCTTATGATGACCTGGTCAAAAGATAACACAATATCCGTTCTCGCTCTTCTCGCAACATGTATACCGATGTTCATCCTGATGGCTACATGTCTGCTTCGTCAGAGAAGACGGCGTGCTAGGAAGCAACGTAGGTGACTAGCCGAGGAAACCGCGACAGCAACGATACTGACAAAGACAGCCCGTACAGACGTTGAAGCGCCGTCTGTATTGCCTCACTTGCAGTCTTTCCGTTACGGGCCGGTTCGCAGGGAGTCTGCACTCATGGCATTGATTCTAGTCCAGAGGGAGGTGCAGTTTGCGGATCGTGGGTCATATCAGGCGATGGGGGTTTGTTGAAAAAAGCAAATGTCGCGTCTTCTTAGTTTCCTCAGCTGCAGAGTCCTTAGAGAAGCCGTTTTGGGGGATTTTGGTGCCATCTGTGTAGTTGATGTTGGATTGGAGATGAGATGGTTTTGTTACACGGGGCTGATAGCTGCCGACCTGGGCAGGCGCGGAATACTTCCGCTAGCGCGAACGCGTAATTGAGAGGCTCAAGCACGCGATCAATGCATGAGGTTCACTTCGCGCCAAACCACACTTCAACGACATGCCACCTCACAGTAGAGGGGAGTCCCTTCCTTCAGGTTTCTATTCGAAGTCTACGCCCAATTTGCCTACCTTGACGTCATTTGATGGTCAAAGTCGCGATGACAGTGCCATAGCATCCCCTCCACGCTCCGCGACTCGTCCAGGAGCAACTCCTCTATCGCCAATATCGAATAGCGCTCTCTCCGAGGCGGCGTCTGTAGAGGACAACCAAGATGTAGACGAGGACCCTTTCATGGTGGAGGACGTAGTCAGCGAAGATGAAGAGGACGAAGAGGAGCCAGCGCCTACGTCTCGACCATTACAAACCTCTAAATCGTATAGTCATCTCCCGCGACATACTGCGACTGCGCTATTCCCACCCTTCTACAACAGGCCCCCGACTCCGCTACCGCCATCTCCATCATTGACCTCGCTACTTCGCCCCGCGTTCAGCCGTCCAACCTCGAGGCCTACGACACCAGACTCGTCGGATGTGGAAGGATATACTAGAGCTGGCTCGCATACCACAGGCACAAGCACACCCACGAATCTCGCGAGCTCGGCACGGCATGCGCCGACGGTACCCCGGGCCTCGCCGAAAGTGCCTACATACGAATACTACGGCTTTGCACTGTACCTGGGGAGCTCCGCCGCGTTCCTGATGTACATCCTCTGGGCTTATGTACCAGCTCCGATGCTGCACCAGATGGGCATTCACTACTACCCGAACCGGTGGTGGGCGCTCGCGGTGCCGTGCTGGCTGGTGGTGCTAGTCATCTACATCTACGTTGCCCTTGCAAGCTACAACACGCGCTACCTCACACTACCGCTGAGCAGCTGCGAGAACCTCGTCGATGAATGCGCACAGATAGCCGTTGTCGATCGCATGACTGGGCAGATAGTACGCGACCCGGTGCTAGTCACAGACAAGCTACCCGACAAGGACAAGGAAAAGGGCACTAGAGCCAGTGCACCTCCCAGCCGACGAAGCTCTTTCTCGGCATATCAATTTAGCGCACAAGATGAGGTGGACTGGAAAGGCTTCTGGAGCACGGGAACAGATGCCGTAATGGATGTGCCAATTGGCGGCGTCTGCGAGATACTCTACGGCCGCGACAGATGAATAACGTATCGTCATTCTGACTACTACTTATTCAGCGCGAATGTCATTCTCGGCCAAAGATACCTTGTGCGCGGAAAAAGCTTGTCGCGGGCAGTGGGTCGCTCTAACCCCCACTTACACCTGCCCCTCCCGAACTGCGAGATTCGGAAAGAACCATGCTTGTCAGGCAAGCGCCCCGCTACATCATGAGCTGTTTGTTCTTCGGATTGGGCGGATGGCTCCTGCTATCTAGCTGCTGTAGCTTAATCCCGAGCTTGGTTTACTTACTCAGCGGGGCATGCAGCGAGATAGCTGGTATAAGTCCTTCCTGACGTCCGCCTTTACTCTTTCCCCATCCCACCTCTGCTCGTGAGATTCGCCGCCTTGCCCTAGGTTTAATTGCTTCACTCGCTTCCGTGAACAGCTTCCTTCGTTGACAAGCGTTCAATTGCTCACCATGAAGTCTGTTGTCGCGCTTTCCGCTCTCTCCATGCTCGCTGGTGCCGAGGCAGCTGAGACCGTACTTGGAGCTTACATCTTCCACCGCCATGGCGACCGTACACCAAAGGCTCTTGCTCCCACCAACCTGACTGCTCTTGGTTACGAACAGGTCTACACATCTGGCCAGTACTACCGCTCACGTTACCTGTCTGGCGACTCCAAGATCCACGGTATCAGCGAGGATGAAGTCAAGCTGTCCCAGCTTCAGGTCCAAGCACCCGTCGACAATGTTCTCCAGAACTCAGCCATGGGTTTCCTCCAGGGACTCTACCCCCCTGTTCAGACGGTTCAGACTCTTGCCAATGGCCAGAGCGTACAAGCGCCAATGGATGGCTACCAGCTCATCCCAGTCAACACCATCGAGACCGGCTCCGGCTCTGAGGACAATGGCTGGCTGCAGGATGCGTCGAGCTGCCAGAACGCAAAGACCAGCTCAAACTCCTACTTCGACAGTGAGGCGTACAAGAGCCTTGCGTCCAGCTCCAAGGACTTCTACTCCTCTATCGTTCCTTCGATGAACGGCGTGGTTAGCGATGAGCAAGTGTCTTTCAAGAACGCCTACGTCGGTATGTCTCGTCCCAATCCTCATGTACAAGCTAAACTAACATGAACAGTCTACGACACCATCCACGTAGCCGAGATTCACAACTCCAGCATCCCCAACTCCGACGCCCTAACCAACACCACCCTCACCCAGCTCCGCACTCTCGCCGACGCCCACGAGTGGGGTCTCGCCTACAACGCCAGCGACAACATGCGCGCAGTCGCTGGTATGCAACTCGCAGGAGAAATCCTCGAATACATGAACAACATCATCAGCACCTCCGGCTCCAAGAAGTTCGGCATCCAATTCGGCGCCTACGCAACCTTCATGTCCTTCTTCGGTCTCGCCGACCTGCAGAAAGTCAGCGACGACTTCACTGGCGTTGTCGACTACGCTAGCTCTATGGTCTTCGAGCTGTTCACCAACGCAAATGTTGACTCTGGTTTCCCCAACGGAGATGACCTGCAAGTCCGCTTCCTGTTCCACAACGGCACGGCTAGCAACACCAGTGAACCCACCGTCTTCCCCCTCTTCGGCGGCAGCGAGAACGCGGTGTCGTGGACTACCTTCCAGGACAAGCTGAATGAGTTTGCTATTACTACTACGGAGCAGTGGTGCACTAAGTGTGGTAACACTGCTGGAGCTTGCGCTGCGTTCGTCAAGGACAATGGCGCTACTACTGCTCAGCAGAGTGGAAACGGTAGCAGCGATATGTCGCCTGCGGTTGGTGGCGTCATTGGTGCTTTTGTTACGCTGGCTGTTGTTCTGGGCTCGCTCGCGGTGCTTATGCTGGTCGGTGGATTCAGGCTTGTTAGCAAGAAGGCGCTGCAGAGGGGTGTTGCGCAGAGCAGTGTTGAGCCTAAGGCTTAGGGTCCGCTTGGGTGAGACGACGTGTTGTATGGTAGTGAAGCGAAGGATGGAGAATTTCACATCAGTATCTGGACGTGGTATGGTATGAAAAAGGAACGTACAAGAGGTGTCACGATGTATATGAGATCAACAAATGAATGAGAACGCTGAAGGATATATTGCCAAAGTCTTCGTCTAGGTCCTTCAGGAGGTAAATGGTCGGCATTGACTGTCTGTCTACATCTTGAAGAACCTAGGCTAAGCATTTGGCAGTGTATATTTTCCGTTCATCTCTTCATTCCACTGTATACTTGTAATACGGGTATAACATGTCCCAGCCTATGATCCAGATCCCTTTTACCCATCCACCAAAACGCCAGCAAATGCATGAAGTCATCTATATCATAACGCGAAGTGAAAAGAAGATTCCTCCTCCCTAGACCTTCAACACACTAAACCTATCCTGCGGCTTAACCTTCGGCGCACCCAACCCCTTCCTCACCTCATCCAACTGCTCCATACCACTCTGCTGCTTGCCCTTCTTAACCCTTCTTCCACTCTTTCCGGCAGTATGATGGCTCCCCAGAAAGTCATCCATGATACTATCGAAATCGCCACGCAGCGGCGGCGCCTCACTACTCGACCACCCACTCATACCGCTCATTTTGCTCATGCCGCTCATCTTCGACATACCACTAACCATGGAAGCAGAGTCGTCGTAGCCGTAGTCATCTTCGGGGAAACCATCGTCGTCAGCGTATTCTTCTTCGATCTTGTCGAAGCGCTGGTCGAGCAGTGTGAGGCCTTCTGTGCGGTGCAGCGCGGAGGAAGACATGGAGTATCCCGATGTGGACGTTTTGGCGCCTTTGCGCTTCTTGCGGCGGCCGCCGGCTGTTAGGGCTGAGGCGCCTGTTATGAAAGATTGGTTGTCTGTTGCTGCGGCGGCACCATTTCTAGGGTTCCCGGGAGTGGGTTTGGCGGCTTTCACGTCTTGTTTGAACTTTTTGAATTCATCCAGGTACGCCATATCTGCTGCGTCGGCGGGGGCGGGCGCTTCGTCTGGAGCGGGGAGGGAGGATGGGTCTGTGGGGTCCGCTAAAGGTTTCTGAGCGCGCAGCTTGGGGGACGAGGCTTTGATTGTGTCGTCGGTTTCCCAGCCTGGGTCTTCTTCTGAAAGGAAGCGGTCCATGGGGTCTCTATCGTCGGTCTCGTCGTCAAAGAGGTCGGCGCTGTCCCATTCTCGTTGGTCGACTTCGAAGCCGTCTTGGGCGAGTTCGTTGAAGATGTCCTCGTCGTCCTCGACGTAGGCTTCGTCTTCGAGCGCTTCGAGCACTTCGCGTAGGCGCGGGTCCATGTCTGGTTGGAAGCCTTTGAGGGCATCGGGGATGTTCTGCTGGTCTTGGTAGGTTGTCTTGCGCACGAACTCTGAGGGCGCCATGTCTTCTCCGAATAGCTCGCTCGCGCTGCTGATGTTGCTGCTCACGCTGAGATCGGCCTGGCTTCTGCTGTCGTTCAGCGATGCGTCGCGCAGCATATCCGCCAAGTCCATCTTTTGCTTTCCCTTCTTCTCCGCCTTGGGCTCAATGAAGTAGGAGTCGCCGCTGCCCGAGCCCAGGTCGCGCATGTGCTGCATGTAGTCGTACTCGGTGTCGTCGTAGTAGATACCGTAGTTGGCGGCTTCACCCTCGTTCTTCCGTACTTGGGCGCCATATTCGCTTTCTAGTTCGCGTCTCGACTTGATCTTGCTGCGTCCTGTCGCGGCCGAGTATTGCGACGCACGCGAACTTCCTGCGGGCTCGTCCGTTTCGCGTTGGTTCGGTGCGGCCCTCTCGGCAAAGACCATCTGCGGGGCATCTTCGTCGTGGATCCGGGGGTCATTTTGGGCGCGGTGGACGAGACGGAAGTTGGTCGCGTTCTTCTTATCGCTGTCGCGGGGTTAGCGGGGTACTTCAAATGCGCCTCTCAATTTCTCGACTCACATGAACTTTCGGCGAGGCATCTTGGCGGCTTATGTGAGAGTTGCGGTTAGGTCGTATGGCAGTGGCGAGTGTGTTGTTGTGGAAGTCTGGGGAAGGCGCGCTTACAAAAGGGTCTTCGAAAAATAATTTAGGCGAGGCAATCGGTGAATGACGTGGTGGGGCAACTTCCGTCGCAACTTTCTCTTTCCACTCACCCCTCTATTTGGGCCAAAAACGCCACAACCACACGATACAGCACCGTCAACCGCAAATATGGTGCTCGCGAAATCCAAAAAGAGCGTCGGGCTGGGTAACAGCCTGATGAACGACAGGTTCAGCAAGGGAAAGGGCGACAATCTGCGGAAGGGCAACTTCAACGCCGGTATCGAGCGAACCGGTCAGAATGGCGAGAAGGTGTGTTACATCCACGATGATTATGCTTGGGATATTGCGCATGCGTAGGAACAGTGCGCAATGTTCTGGGTGGCACCCAGTAGAGCACGCGACTCATACTAACATCCTTAAGTACATCACCAACGAGAAGAAAGAGGCGTCGTACATGAAGATGCGCTCCGTCACCGAACAAGGCGCCCTCGACGACTTCCTCTCCACTGCAGAATTGGCCGGAACCGACTTCACCGCCGAGAAGATGAACAACGTCAAGATTATCCACAAGGACCAGAAGAACCCATACCTCCTCTCGCCGCTTGAGGAGCGCAACGTCACCAAGAAGCACAAGGAAAACAGGAACCGACTGACTGTACCGAGGCGACCCCACTGGGACAAGGACACTACACCACAAGAGTTGGACGAGAAAGAGAGGGCATCGTTGTTACAGTGGCGAAGAGGCTTGGCGGAGCTGCAAGAGAACAACGATCTTCTCCTCACACCGTTCGAGCGCAATCTCGAAGTCTGGAGGCAGTTGTGGCGTGTCATTGAACGGTCGGATCTGGTCGTGCAGATTGTGGACGCCCGTAACCCGCTCATGTTCCGGTCAGAGGATTTGGAGGACTACGTCAAGGAGGTGGACCCGAAGAAGAACAATCTGTTGCTGGTCAACAAGGCGGATATGATGACGCTGGAGCAACGGAAAGCTTGGGCCGACTACTTCACCGAAGCTGGCATCAACTACAAGTTCTTCTCGGCTGAACTCGCCAAAGAGATGAACGAGGCTCGTGCTGAGTTGGAGGCAAGCGACGACGAGTCGGACGATGCCGGCGACTCTGACGAGCTTGTGACTGATGAAGGCGAAGACTTCGAGGAAGAAGACGACAAACTCGCAAAAGAAGCCAAGAAGATTGACCTGCAAGACAAGCAGGAAGAGATGGAAAAGTGGGTGGACGAAGAGACTGTCGACGTACCGGGCGCGAGCCAAGCAGAGGCGGACGGCGATGAGCGCACGCGGATACTAACAACAGAGGACCTTGAAGCCCTGTTCCTTCAACATGCGCCTGATGTTGATACCGGACCAAACGGCGAGCCGCGAAAGACGTCGATTGGTCTTGTCGGATACCCCAACGTCGGAAAGTCGTCCACGATCAACGCGTTGATTGGCGCAAAGAAGGTGTCGGTTTCTGCAACACCCGGAAAGACCAAGCACTTCCAGACCATCCATCTCAGCGACAAGGTCATGCTCTGCGACTGCCCTGGTCTAGTGTTCCCCAACTTCGCCACAACCAAAGCCGAGCTCGTGTGTGCTGGTGTACTGCCGATCGACCAACTTCGCGAGTACACTGGGCCCGCAGGTCTTGTCGCACGTCGCATCCCGCAACCCTTCCTTGAAGCGCTCTACGGAATGAAGATCCACCCTCGACCGATGGAAGAGGGTGGAACTGGTATTCTGACATCCGAGGAAATCCTACGTGCCTACGCCATCGCCAGGGGCTTCTCCACTCAGGGTCTTGGTCAGCCAGACGAGTCTCGAGCGGCGCGATACATCCTCAAGGACTACGTCAAGGGCAAGATTCTCTTCTGCCACCCTCCACCCACCGACCCACCGCTAGACCCCAAGCACTTCAACCGCGAACTCTACGACGTCGACCATCTTCCCGCCAAGCGCCGACATCACCCTCTCGCATCCCTGCCCGGCAACACCTCCCTCGCCGGTGCACTGGACGATGATATGTCGCTGATGGACGACGAGCTCGACGCTGGCGTACCCGTCCAAGGAGAGAAGACACAACGCATGGACAAACGCTTCTTCGGTCCCGGGCAAGGTATGGGACGGGTTAACCAACCTTTCCACTACAAATACAGTGAGCAGGGTAAGGAGCTCAGTGGCAGGAAAGCTAAGATGGTCGCTGCACTCGAGGCAGACGTTGATCCAACGGAGATGAAGATGAACAGCAAGAAGCACTTCAAGGCCAACAAGAGGAGGGCGAAGAAGGTGCGGTCTGAGTATGTTGATTAAATGTCGATGGGAACAAGGAAGGAAAAGGGAAAAGGGAAAAGGGAAAAGGGAAAAGGGAAAAGGGAAAAGGGAAAAGGGAAAAGGGAACATGGATGGGAGGTTATGAATGCATGATCGGCGTTTGGATCTGTTTCTTGGGATGATATACCGGGAATTCAATGCATAGAATATAAAAGTCATGTTATCAACAATATCCCATGCGTTGATGCTACGTGCGGCTTATATGATCCTTCTTATTCGAGATAGTTCGCTGGACTATGTCTGTTCAGGTGGTGGCTGTGGCAGAGAGCAGGCGCTGGGTCGCAACTTCACGCAGGTCCACCAAGTCATTGGTGCTATTTGCTGAAATCCACGCCAAGCCAAAACTTGCCTAATCGGGATTGCTGTCACGTTTTCTTCGAGACTTGGTACAAAAGTCGCCAGAACACGTGGGATTTATTTGATGCGTTGTAATGTTTGGATGTCACTATAATCCATGGTCCATTGGGAAACTGCCAGATTAGGACAGGGTCTGGCGAACCTGGGAGTGAATGTGTGTTGTCGCAGCCCTGGAGCACCTGGGCAGACTCGACAGTTTTATGCCACGGGACCAGATGTTCTTTGCCCGCTTAGATGATGTATTTTCCTCGGGCTTTTATATCTAGATGAGGAGGGCGAGATGTTGCAGTTAAGGTTTCAACATAGCGACAGTACCGAACGTCGTCCAGTCCGCGGGCGGTACGTCGGCATGGCTGAGTATGCGGGATACGTTCTGCGCAACCAATGTGCATTTGGTTTTCAAAGCTGCATGTTCTGGCGTTGCGCGACACTGTCGACCTCATGGCGGGCCTTTGCACTGCAATCTTTAGCGCGGAAGAGCAGGTCAGAAAGCAAGGCTGAGAAGTAGCCTTTGCTGCGCCGTAGTGACCGGACAGCAAATGCGCAACATTGGATGGGTAATATTGCACTGCGATCTCTAGCGAGCACGAGCCGTTGCTGGCTTCAGAGATGTAGAATCGGGCTGTGTGCATGATGAATGGCAGGGGTGTAACCAATGGCAAGTGCTATCTCGTTCAAAGTTTCACCGAAAGGATCTCACGTATGCAGGATCATGCCAAAAATGGGTCTGACCAAAAGTATCCAAGGGTGCACTGCAAACTCTAGCGCGGACGAGCAGGTAGGATGACGAGGCTAAGCTGACGAAGCTGTACGATTCCAGGCATGACAAGCGAGCGGTTCTGCACTGCAATCCTTAGCGTAAAGGTGCAGACAGTACACTTCCGAATGAGGCATCAAGCTCTTGAACGCGGGGACATATTTGTGGTTTGATCATGAATCGCATTTTCTAATAAACACCAAAACATCTAGCCCATGTCTAAAATTGAACGCCCAAGAGTTGAGACACCACTTCATAAAGCGATCCTCCAAAGAAAGAGAAGAAATCATCGGAAGACCCAGAATGAGCAAAGTAGAAATCCAGCAAAGCCCCTGCGAACAGTCCTCCTGTAGCTCCCATCCCCGTCCCCTGAAAAATTGTTGCATGCCTCGAAATGTGTGACCGATCTGTTTATGCGACGCTGGCGCAGTTGAGGGCGTTGACGTTGACGATACCCTGTTGGTGTTGCAGATTAGTATGAGTTGATGGAGGCGAGCGTGAAAGGGGATAACTCACATCCTTTTGGTCACCGATGTCGCAGCAGCGGATGCTGCCATCGCAGCCGGGCTGCTGGACGCTGATAGGGAGAGTGACGCACTCAAGGGCGCCGACGAGCGCATCCTTGGAAGCGCAGCAGACTGCCCTCTCGTTTCCGCCCTTGCAGATGGTGTTTCCGTTGCCGTTGCCTTGGGGAACAGCGGAGACGGCGACAGCCAGGGAGAGGATGGTGATGAAGAACTGCATGTTGAAGTTGTTGTTGGGATCGAAAGAACGATTGGAAGTTGTAAGAGTGAGTGGTGTTGTGGAAGTGAAGATGCTTGTTGTAGTGATTGTTGTGATGAGCTGATGATTAGACTTGGAGTCGAGGATGTGAGGTCTTATATACACATCTTCGACGTGCTGAACATCGTGTCTCTTCTACTCTGAGGTCTTCTTTCTTGTTCCTTTTTCTCGCTGGTCTCATACAGTCCGGTGAGGATACAGGAGATCGTCCAATGGAACGTGCAAGAATGCCAGACCGACAGTTGCTGAGAGCATGTTGAGTGCCAAGCGCAAGCTTTCACGAGACCACTTTGTCTTTTGCATAGTGTCAGAAGCGTTGGGGTAGTAGGGTGAGGTACGACACACTGTAGCGAACCGTGCTTCGATGTTTCGCACATTCGGTACCTGATTCTCCTAAGGGTGCACTGGCCCCTCTAGCCTCATCAGGGAAAAGAACTACAGCGGATATGGTGATAATCCGCAACCAGAGAGCGGTCAATCTGCTGCATTCTGGAGCTGTCTGTGTTAGTCGCTGCTGTAAGTAACGGATCTACCCTGGGGTGGTGTGGTGGGGGTAGGTGTCACGGTGGGGTGCAGCCGTTGTTGCCGCCTCCCGCATGCCACTCGACTTCTACGCTAAGCTCGATGAGGAATCGCCTTTCCACCTGGGTACACCACCCGTGGACGTACCTACCTACCTAGGTAAGCAGCGTCAATCTCATCGACCGCCCGAAAGAAGCAATCTTTGAAGTTTCCCGAGTGGCACGGGAGGGACTCAGCGAAACGACAGCCTCGTCGACCAGCCTCACCGACAGCAACCCCACCGCCTTGGCGCCTCCCCGACCGCCTGTAAGAAGCAAAAGTCATTCAGTACAAGCGCATGGTTTCACGATTGGCAGATGAACTTTGTACGGCTCTGGCACGACGTGCTATTGAGCTTTGAACATGTCTGGGAGCTATTGACGAGCATCGCAATTAAATCTACAATAGATGGCATTGTCTACCAGAACCATTTGATGTAGACTTGCTCCTTCTAGATTAGCCTCTACCCCTGCACGACTGGCTAATTGACTTTCGGCTATCTCTGGTTGTCGATCAGACATGGGAAATTCGTGGGGCCGCAGATTCCCATATTGAGATGTTAAACACAAGGGTGACTAGTGAATGAAATATGTCTGGGCACATATATGACACTCCTCTAACAAAATGCACTATTTCGGGACTTCAATAAATATGGGAACAAAATCCAAGGCGCACTCTGTTCTCCGTTTAAAAGAAGCAAAGCTCTACGCTCGCTCACTGGACGCCACCAAACGGATGCTATCTTCCGACGATTGTTCGGTCGCGCGCGTCGTTGGGAAAAGGACTGTAAGCGAAGGCTACCTGGACATGTTTCCGGTGAGTACATCTTTGCGGTGTGTTTATCTTTGCGGTGAGTATCGTACTATTTTTTCACGTCACGCTCAATCTGATCTATCCACACTGTTTACTGCTAAAGCGTTCCCAACGCATACCTAGTACTCTGAAAACGCATACCGACTGTCTAACGATTGAAGATCTGTCTTCGCACCAGCCCCAGTGTCTTCCAAACGCCGATCTGAATCTGGCCGACCAATTCTCTCAGCACATCCACCTTGCCATTCCAATAGCAAAACGGGTCATTCCGCTTCGATAGTGACTATTCGTCATATTGGTCAACCGGATGGAGTGTGGGACGCAATCTGACACTCTGCGGTACAATGGCTCTTGGATCTTGCACACCATCCGCCGGAAGAGCAACAATCGCGGAAGGCCGTTTCGCTACTTTGCAGCCATTTGTGCTACGTATGGAGCGTTAAGCCCGCTCTACTTTAAGCGATTCGATAAATTTCTTCTCCTTCTGAACATGGTCCGCTTCAATCTGGCTGCCTGAGAACCAGATATTGGACGTGAATCCGACGAGGAACAAGATATCTGGATCTTCGGCATCCTTCCGTTTCGGTCCGAATGCCGCATCGAACCAAAGACACGCGCCCTCGGACCCCGACAGAGCGCGACCTTCGCATTCGAAAATCGTCTCCCGCAAGCTTTGAGCGTATTGGGAGACCTTGACGATGAACTGCTCGATAGTGATGGCTTTCCCATCGGAGTTCTCGATGAGCAGAGGCGGTGGGGATGGATTGTCATCGTACCTCTCCCAGCACTCCCAAGCTTCGACCATGTCGAATGCTACACACATTCGTGAACGTGGTACTTCGGTAACCGCCTCGTCAGCTAGAGGGTGCTTTAGGTCTACCAACATCAATCGCCACATTGGCTCGCGATCTTCATCAGAATGGATGATCTGGACGGTAGACGGTGGGGCGAGTAGGTTCCATCGTAGGCGGTCTAGAGCACTCGTGTGTAAGAGGCTCTCCTCCTCACGAGGCACCTCTTGAGGAATGAGGCGAAAGTTCCTACTTGCTTCGGCAAAATCTATCGACCCTGGCGGTATGTGAACCGGATTTGAAGGGCCTGGATAGACCATGATGGGCGGTGAATCGCGCGGTTTGTAAATACCTAGGTAAGGGTGGTTGAGGAGAGAGGCGTGCCGGAGACCGTGGAGCTGTCAGAGCGCGAACGAGATCGTGTTTTGGAATCCAGCCTCGGCAAAAATGTGAACGAGCGCCAAGGGCACGTACTTGCCCGGCTTCATTGGGTGATATGCGCACTTTTGTTGGCATCTGCAGCTGGGCTGTGAATATCACGGCCTCCGTTTACGATGCGACTGCAACCACAATCATAACCGGCAAAACATGGCCTCCAAACTAACCAAAATTACCGCATATGCCAATTCAGGTCGCTCGCGCATACTGAACAGGCACCAAGCATGCTATACCAACTTCTAATCGCACTGAGTAGCTACGCAATGATAACCGACCCGAGGCTTTTTCATTGGTCTGCCGAAAGTTCACTTCACCCGCGTAGGGTTGGCTCACCCAGTGCAAGACGCAGGCTTGAGTCCCGCTGACACCTTTTGAATGGCATTATCGTATATTCATGGAACGCCACTTAGGCTCAATCCTTCGCTCTGGAAGGTGCGGTCCGCCGCCGGGAGGGACGGTAAGCCTCTTCTCCCCTCGCGTTCATACGAGAAATTGTCAAAGGCGAAGATGTTTTACGTCGATATAGACATGGTTGGTAATAGTCGCTATCGAAAATCAAACCCTCAAAGTACACGGCCAAAGTGGTAGAGCCAGGCATGGCTACATTGGTTGGGCATAGCCTTAGTAATTGACCCACATTTGCTTGCGGGCCCCGCCGCGCTAGCGTCTTGTGGGTTTGCAAGCTTGCCCAGGTGTCGCTCGCCCCCACGGTCCACCCATCTTCCAACCTAACACCACATACCACTCCATGACAAGGTTCGCCACACAGTCTCAATAGGACTCGAACAGCTATATTACATGATGAGATAACGATCAAAGACGAGTTACGCGAGGACTGGAAGCTATCGATGTCCAGAAGGTTGTCCTACTTGCAGGTACCATAGTTCTTTTGACTAAACATTATCAGCACTTGTGCATAGGGTTATGAATGATGCCGCTTACCAGCCAGTCTTGCAATGCGCATCAGTCTGTCCACAAAATCCAGTGGATCCACAGCATTGCCCATTGAATGGACCACCCGAGCAAGTAAAGCCGCCTTTAGTCGAACCGCACGCGCCATCCAAGCTGGGAATGTTGCTCGTGAGGCACGAGCTGGAGAAAGACCTTTGACTCATGAGACGCATCGCGTTAGCAACTTTCCTGAGCGAACAACGTGTGACATAGGGTCTACGTACCATCCTTGGGCGCAATGGTTGACTGTACTGCCGCAGTAGCCACCAGCGGAACAACACGTGCCGAAAGATGTTCCAGCACACGTATACTTCTTCGATCCACCGCATGACCCGTCGGGAGACGCATTCGGGTTCGCTCCACCAGAACATGTGCCAAACGTGCTTTGACATCCACCAGCGCAATGGCTCGATGAACTACCACAGTAGCCAGCAGCACTGCAACAGTCCCCAAACCCACTGCCAGCACACTTGTACCCTTTCGAGCCTCCACAGGTGCCATCGGATGAAAGATTCGGGCCGCCAGAACATGTACCGAATTCAGCTTGGCAGCCACCAGCGCAATGGCTAGACGAACCACCGCAATATCCAGCAGCACTGCAGCAGTCCCCGAACCCACTGCCCGTACACTTGTAACCTTTTGCGCCTCCACAAGTTCCATCCAGCGAAAGATCAGAGCCACCGGCGCAAGTTCCAAACTTGGCCTGACAACCAGCGGTACAATGACTTGTAGAACTTCCACACCATCCACCTGAAGAGCAACAATCGCCGAAGCCACTTCCGCTACATATGTAGCCTTTTGTGCCTCCACACGAGCCGTCCAGAGATATGTTGTCGTTACCCGCTGTGCAGTTTCCAAAGGATGACTGGCAGCCGCCCTTGCAGTGTGCGTCGGTGTTTCCACAGAATCCGGACATGCTACAACAATCTCCGAATGCAGAGCCACTACATTTGAAGCCGTTGGCACCGCCGCAAGTTCCATCTGTAAGGCTCGTCAGATTATGACCTGGGTTAGGGGCAATTTTTGCCAGGAGATGCGCTTCTCTTACCCGGAGATGTGTTCCCGACTGGAACCGAAGACGGCGAAGGTGAGGGTGAAAGGGTTGGGAATGCTGTGGGAATTTCCAAGACACATTCACCGTACAAGCAATTGCCCAGCCCGCAATATCCCTGACCTGTTCCGCATTTGCTGTTCGTACCACAGCAGTCGCCCCATTTCCCACCGCAGATTTTGTTGCCAGTCGCAGAGCCGCATGTGCCATCGAGCGAGTAGTCGCTGGGGTTCTTGACGGAGCACAATCCCGTAGCGCATGTGCCTGCACGACAATCTTCCCTAAGTGCATCTAGTGGTCAGCTAATGCTCTAGCTAGAGCCTCGACAGCCCGGCATAACGCTTCACGTACTTCGTTTGGCCGCACTTCCAGGTCTCCGAATTGCAGCATTGACCGCCAGAGTAGCCTAGACAGGTGAAGTAATCTTCCGGCTTGCAAGATCCATCGGTAGATACCGGTACCACGTTTCCTGCTACACAGTACCGGTTGCCAGATTGGATGCTGGAGCAATCTGGATCGAGGAGGGGATTGAGCATGAAAAAGTGCTCAATCGTGATTCCGTATTTGAGCGCAAGCTCAGTACATGTGTAGTAGGTCACGGGTGTTGGGGCGGTGGTGTTGAAGCGACATCGCACTTCAGCGGCTGCTCGAGGAAGCAACAACGCTGCGAAGAGGAAGACATATCCGAATACAGTCATGCCGAGTTTTGCGAAAGGTATGACAGACTTGATGCTCTGAGATTTAATCTGATGTACAAGGGGCTGAGAGTATCTAATACCTAGATTACCGTGCACACTCGACATGCACGCAAGCGCCTAATGCAGGGTTCAATCTCGGTTGCAAGGTTGTAGAACCCGCTATGTAGACACGGAGATTAGCACGTATAGAGTACTTGGCATGCTAGGTGCATCTTACAGGGCAGATGTAGAACACCTCTTCGGCTTTAACCCCCATAGTTCTCGACAAATAACCATTCCCTTCGCACCCATTGTGCCTCTATCTCGTGAACCGAGCTCGATTCATTGGTCTTGAAGTTCAGAGGGAATACATACAGATTTCCAGGCTCTTGAAGTTTTGGTGCACCAGTCGAGTAGTAGTAGATCTCAGCACTCTCCTGTGACGATGGTTCCCGATCCTCGATTTCGCACAGCATTTCTCGTAGGCTGTAGGCGTACTCGGAGACTCTGAGAACGAATTGTTCAATGGTGATGGTTCGTCCGTCAGTATTGTCGATGACCAGAGGCGGCGGGGCCTCATCCATCATGCCCAGACTTTTCCAATACTCAATCATAACCAGCTTGACACCCATTCGAGGAATGGGTAGTTTGGTTACAGCTTCATCGGCTAGAGGATGCTTTGGGTCCAACAACAGGGGTCGCCAGCACACCTCACCCGACTCATCAAAGTCGACGGCCTCGATTGTCGATGGTGAAGCGAGTACATTCCATTTGAGACGATCCAAGGATTCTACCCGTACGAACGGTTTTCTCTTTCCGAGATTATCATGCTGCGAGACTGGATGCGAATTATTCATGCTCACGTCTGCTAGAACCTCAGCTCCTGGCTCAATGCGGATTTCATTCGATGTGCTGGACGGGGCCATGATAACCGATCGGATGACCAACGAAGTGAAAGTTTTACGGTCTTGTGAGAGGGGTTCACAGGAAACAGAGAAGAGAGTTGTGAGTGTGCAGACGAGGTCGCTTCCTGCATCCCGGCCTCGGCAGAATGAGATCCTTCGCCAAGGGCGCCTATCCGGATGAAAGGTTTCCGCGATATGACTACGACGCAAATAATCTCGAGATTATCCATTCAATCCGCTTTGAGTGTTGTAGCGCAGACTCACGGACCGGATTAATGTACGACGGCTATCGCTGCGCGGTTAACAGTATCGGCGTTCCCACAAGCAACCGTCAGGAGCAAAGACCCATGCCTAGGTCGCATTGAGGCTGTGCATTGCTCACTTTCTTAATGTATTGGAACATCTTCGTGGCGATCAAAGTATAGAGGTGTGATTCTCGGATTGCCGGGCCGACCGTTCGGGCGCGCTCTCACGAGTCGCTTGAAGTTGTCTGACGGAGAACGACAAATCTGGAGTGATCAGAGGCTATCAACAGGATCGTACCAATTCCAGGAAAGAGATATTCTGCCGGTGCGGGAGGTCCGGTCCGCAGCCGAGAACGGCATGTTGCCCGCGTGCAATATGCAACTACCTGTTCCGCAATACTGCATGTGCATTGACCCTGTGCGAAGACCTGGTCAACTGTACTATACCGAGATCGAACACTACTAGGGGGTCTGACACGAGAAATGAGGTCCTAAGATCAATCTCACTTACTCCCTTCTAGGTTCCTCAACTTACAGCATTCCGATCAGTCATCGACGAAGACATGGCTTCATCATTCGTAAATTTTGTTCAGCGCAAGCTATGTCTGATACTTTTCGGCTTGTCCATCTACAACCTCGCTTGGGGTCAGTTCATCCAAGAGTACCAAATGAAGCTCTACAATGGAGAAGAGACACGTAAGTCTACTGGTTGGCGTGACCCAATCACGCTACACAAAGCTAATGACACTTGTTCCGTAGCTCACTGGCGTCGAGAGAAAGGTGATCCTCTCAGACGCGTTCTTAGGCCTAAGACAATTGTTGTTTTAACTTACAACTGCTACTACATGAAAGCTATCTGTAAAAATGCGAAGGAATGGCTAGAGACAGATCGCGGCAAGGATCGGACGCTAGCCCAGTATGGAGCCGGGTCTTCACAGATCTACGGCTATGACTTGAACTCCGAAGTGACCGAAAAAAGGGGTGACAAGATGTGCAAAAACTTCAAGAAGAAGAATGAGTGCCCTCAGAAAAGGAACGGAGCAGTGATACAGCCAGCTATCATGCCAGACCACTGGACCACCGCAGTGGAAACTATCAACCCTCTGAATGAGTGGGAGCTTGAAGCTTCATACCAGATCGACATTAGCAAACCGATAGGAGATCCAGCTCGTAACAGGTACGACGTTCTTTACTCACATGGACGTGTGAAAAACCTGTTGGCTTACCAAGATCTAATTTCATTAGGCTCATAAGACGAAGCGGACGACGATACACATGCGAAGAATGGCCACCGAGAAGGTCAGCCTCCATCACGTCAACCGATCCTTGAGCTACTTGCGCTGTGACTGACATTCTTCACTAATACAGTTTCGTAGAGGGCGGCATTGGCACTCCAGGCATGAATATCCTCCCTGAAGGTGACGGCAGCAGAGGTAACACATTCTGCGCGCCCATGTCAATGAACAAGGGTTGTTCAGGTGGTGCACCCGTCCCACGCCATGAAAGCATCAAGTCTGAGCAAAGTGAGTAGATGATGTCTACAGCATAGCCTCTCTCCTCCATCCACAATATGTCTTGTCGCTAGCACCTCTGGATGAGACCGTTTTACTAATACATGGCCGAAGATTGGCAGGGAATAACTCACGGTGTTCTTCAGGGCAAGCTCCACAGTCTTGCATTGGAAGAGTTGAAGATACCGACAACTGAACAGCCCAATTATGCTATGCTCATCGCTGTAAATTTGGATGACTCAAGCGGTGTTAACGATCCGCCCGCCGGGTGTAAGTCACTCAGATTCAAGTCAATTTTCATCTGAACGTGGACTGACATTCTCTCTTTGTTTGCAGTCAAGATGGGGGACAATTATGCGACAAAGTGGAATACCAAGGTCAGCAGGCGAACTGGTGATGGCACGGATAACATGAATACGACTGAACACCTACGATACATGTCCAGCTTGACCCGGAAGGACATACAAGATTGGCCAGGTGTAGACATTCTTCTCAATGGCTCCTGGTCAGAGACCAAGATCGCTGCCACAAACTACGCTGCATCGGGTGGCGAGTTCGGGTTTGGGGCCGCCAACATCGTTGCCAACGATTCCGATTGGTCGCAGAACTCTTCTTTCCTGGATTCGATATACGACAACTCTAGCCGTGGGAGAGGTAGTTTCAGTCTTCATTCCTCCCGTCCGCTAGACATTCTCGATCTTGGAACAGCGTACATCTTGGCCAATATAGAAAGCGGTGCTTCTGTCGCAAACAGCAACTTTAGCACTATACCAAGCGGTAATCTAGCAAGTAACTCCACGATTGCGCGACTTCAAAAGCGCGATGTAAAAGCTCGTCGTCAGAGTTGGTCACACGCAAATGGAAAACACCGAACGTTCCACAAATTTCGTTCTCATGCCGATACTGACGACAATACTATACAGAACGGAACGACTCCTTTCACACCCCTCCAAAAACGCGATGGACCTGTTCAATGTGGACCTGGATCGCCTTGCAAGGATGATAGTTGCTGCAGCGCTGATGGGAAGTGCGGCTTCAAGGAAGCTCACTGCGGCGCTGGGTGCCAATCCAACTGCGACGCTAAAGCTATGTGTGGCATAGACTCCGCAGATGGAAACACACCATGTGCTCTTGATCTTTGCTGCAGTTACTATGGCTGGTGCGGTACTGAGAATGTGCATTGTTACGACCCTGAACCGCAATTTGGCGTAACTCCATGCCAAAAGGGATTTGGGTCGTGCACAATCTACCCATCCCCATCTTGCACTGGAACTTCAGCTTCCTCGGGTCGACACATCGGTTACTATCAAGGATGGAATGTGCGCGAACGACAGTGCGATCGAATCAGTCCGTCACAGATCAACACCAAAGGACTCACACACCTCTTCTACTCTTTCGTCTTCTTCGACCCTAGCACCTTTGAGATGACACCTATGAACCCGGCCGATGTCGAACAATATACCGAATTCACAAGCTTGGCTTCAAACACGCTGCAAACCTGGTGTGCCATAGGCGGTTGGTCCTTCTCAGATCCTGGCCCATATCACATGGCATGGAGCGACATGGTTTCAAAATCAGCGAATCGTGCTCGCTTCATCACGTCGCTGATAGCCTTTATGCAGAAATATGGGTTTCAGGGAGCGGATCTGGACTGGGAATACCCTGTCGACGAGAAGCGCGGTGGCCGACCTGGCGACGCCGACAACCTGGTGCTGTTGGTCAAAGAGATGCGAGCTGCATTCGGATCTCGCTTTGGCTTGTCCCTCACACTTGCCCCTGACTATTGGTATCTTCGTGGCTTTAAACCGAAAGCCATGCAACCTTACGTCGACTTCATGGGGTTTATGGCATATGACCTGCACGGCCCATGGGATACGGATGTGAAAGCCCTTGGTAGGTGGCCTAAATTACTCCGACGATGCCTTACCATGCTGACTCTGCGCTTAGGCTCCATTGTGCGTCCTCACACTGACATCACGGAGCTATACAACAATCTCAAGCCGCTTTGGTTCGATGGTGTTGATCCGTCAAAGATCAACATCGGGCTCGCTTATTACGGTCGCACATACAAACTCGCCGACCCTGCCTGTGGCACCATGAATCAATGCAAGTTCACGGGACCTGGAGCCGCTGGTAAATGTACAGCTTTCGAAGGTGTCTTGTCAAACCGGGAGATCAGAGACATGATCAAAGAGCACGGCTACACCCCATACCTCAACAAGACAGCAATGGTGAAGTACATGACTTACGGGGGTGATAGCTGGGTAGGCTTCGACGACGAAGAAACCATCGCCATGAGAGAGGATTTCGCAAACTCCATGTGTCTTGGTGGTACGATGATTTGGTCAATCGATTTCGATGCAAGTGTTGGTGGTAGTGGCGGTGCCAATGGCGGCAGCGGCTCTGGCAACAACCGCACTGATCTGGTTTGGATCGACCCGAAGATTTGGGATAGCGACAAGCCAACGGTCACATGCGATTTTCCTTGCACAGTAGTCTTGCCACCGTATACAAAGTTCACGACAAGGACACGCTACCCACTCGTTACGGTCACGAGTTCAGGATTCACCACCACTGTCACCCGCCCTCCCCTGACAGTGTCCGTTATCTGGATTTCGACTATTGTAGTTGGCGGCGGCAGTGGAGGAGGGGGAAGTACGGCGACGTCTAATCTACCCGCGACCATCACTACAGGAGTAACATTATACACGACACCAGTATGGCCAAGCTTTACGTTGATCGACCCTGCCGGAAGAACCATTATCACGAGTGCTACCGGAACACCGAGTCCCTTTCCAAGCAGGGTGACGTCTGCTATACCTAGCATCACGTTCGTTTCTGGTTTGCCGCCATCACCAACAACATCGCCCTTCTCTACACCGTGCCCGTTCATCTCGATGGCGATGCTGTGCCCACCGTATATCACGGAAGACGAGATTGGGGGTGGTAGTAACGATGACGATGAGAACGAAGATGATGACTGCAAAGGCGATGACTGCGATTCCGGTGGCGGCGGCGGTGGTGGTGGTGGCGGCGGAGGAGGCGGCGGAGGATGCAAACTCGGCCTACTGTGCAACATTTGCATTGGTTTGGATTGCGTTGGCTGTGACGGTTTAGACTGCTTCAGCTGTCGTGGTCCCGCTTGCAACATCTGTATTGGTGCTAACTGTGCGGGTTGCAAGGGTGCATCTTGTGTTTCTTGCCAAGGCAAAGACTGCATGACGTGTAGCAAGCCGAAGTGCAGGACATGCTCTGGCAAGAACTGTACGCCTGCAGGTAATGATTGCAACGGTTTGCAATGTGATGTTGGTGGCGGTGAAGATCCAAGCGAAGAAGAAGTTGAGGAGCAAGAGACTGGGGAAACCTGCATACCTATCAACCTTCCCGGCGATCAGGATCCAAGCGACCCCGGTGGAGATGGTGGTAGCGGCGGCGGAGGAGAGAATGGAGGTGGAGACGACCGGCCACCCCCCGTTCAGTCACCCGATATGACCCAGAATGACTTGACCTGCTATGACAGTGGTCAAGCCGCTTCGAGAGACAATATGGTCTTCGGTGCCAAAGAGTTTTGCACACAGTACAACGAGTTTTTGTACAAGAGCAATGACTTCCAAGCTTTGGAACTGAACTTTGGCTGGGACGAGCAACACAAGGCTGGCCTCAACATGTTGGTTCGGCTGGAGCTCAAGAGCAACTGTCAATGGCGCGTTGATGAGGGAGAATGCAACAAGCAGCTCCTTCGAATCATTGATGGTTGCGACCAAAACACCATAGCAGACAAGCAAGGAGGTGTCTTGGAGAACAATTGCCTGGCTTGGCGCATCGATCCAGAGTACAACCAAGACATCGCACCTCCAGCTCCACCCCCGAAGCCGGAGCCGACACCCAAACCAGAACCCGAACCATCAAAGCCGCCAGTTCATAACGGATACCACCCCTATTACGACATCCTCACCTATGACTTGGGTGCCAGCGCCGGCACCGTCGGCCGGTTCGGTCGTTTAGGACTGGCCTCCTACGAAGACGTCGATGTGTGTCGTTCAGCTACAGCCTGGGAGGACGATGACGCATCGACACCCAAGATGTTCAACGAGATGAAAGGCATCACGGGCGTCTTCGGCGACACGTGCGACTACAAGTCAGTCAAGGACTACGCGGACGCGGAAAGTGGCTCCGTGGTAGGCAAGTTAGAATGCGCCAAGTGGGTTGACGCCGACTGTTACAAGTCAACACATATCGAACGGTGTGTCTTCACGGCCATGTTTACAAGGGTAATATGCCGTTGGACTAACGCTCATTGACATTTGGTGGAGGACCAAAGGATGAGTCATACTTGGCATTCTTCTCACCCGTGACAGTAACTCATCTTCTAGGTTGTTGAGGCTGTGGAAGTTGTGAGTAGCTTCGGAGGTTTGACGATAAGCGCGATTCGGGACCTAATGGCTTATTTTATATGTGCATTCTATCTACCTTACTATTTAATCGTTTTTTCGGTACATCATGACATCTTTTCGTCGTAGCATTAGCGTTTCTTCGATCTAAAGGTAACACTGCGACCGTACTCGATAGATCAAACTTTTGTCGTGTAGATATGTGTAACAACATGCGCTGAGCTTTGCGACCTCGAAACAAACGGACCAGGAGGTATAACACATGGATCTAGCGACGGATAGTATGTTGTCTTGCTCACAACCCTGACGGTTCCCACACCATCAGCGGCTGTTCATGAACGGGCCCATTAAAGCTGGTGAGATCCAGTCTGTAGATCTCGACGTCTTCGAAACCGTGTTTCTGGTAACAGCGATGGCCAACGGGAGTGGACGCCAGATAGATCGAAAGACCAAGATCTTTGGCACGCTGCTTTCCTCAGTCTATGAGGAGACTCCCTGCACCTCTGCCTTGCAACTCTGGATATGTATATAGCAATTGAAGGTCTGAGATTTATTAACATGGAGACGGTGTGAGTTTACGTTGCGACACATATATTGCGCAAACCTACAGAGACACCGCTTCTCTCCCATGATCGCTTTCCTCCGCTCTGCCATTCCCCCAAAGAAATTCTTGCAGGCTTCCGCATTCATTCCAGGACTAAGGCGCAAAGGCTAAAATGAAGCGAGTGCTGCCTAGGTGGTTTCGAAGACGTGCCATTTCGCCCATGCTACCATTTGAGCAGTGTCTTCGTCGAAAGCCTGGATCAAATGAACAGAGGAGTCGTTATTCCTCATGTTGACAATCTGCTGTATTCTTTGTTGCGATGCTCCCAGAGGAAACGAGCCTGGGTTGAGGATGGAACCGAGAGGGTTGTCTGTGAAAGCTAGAGACTCGATTTCACAGCCTCGCGCGATATCGGTGTCGGAAACCTCCCACAGTATAACTGTCATGCTGATGGATATTGATGGAGAAGTAGGATATCGTTGCAGGTGTCGTGAAGATTGAATGCTATGGTCGCGCGGCTGACTCGTAATAGTCTTCAAGCGTCTCCATCCGCAGGCACATACCCCTCAGCCAACCAACTCCAGATATTGAGCCCAATTTTGACGCCCTTTGTAACTGGCAACCCCGCATGCCAACTCTCCGCATATCCAGTCCCATCGCTCCGCATATTCTCCCAAAACACCGCGTTCCCAGCAATCGGCTTGAAAATGATGCCTTTGCTAAGATCCTCCTTGGGCCCTCCCTCTTGCCGAACACCATCCGCGGAGACAGTCGCGGCCCCATCTTCACCACACTCGATAAATCGACACCAACTCTTATCCTCAGGTCTTTCCAAGCGCGGGAAATGCGTGCCTCCGCCCGTACAATTTGCTTCAAGATACACCATGAAGGAACTCACGCGCCCGCTCTTCTTGGTCGCAGTGCTCCAGTCGTAGTGATATGTGTAGTGACCTCCTACGCCATATCTCTGGCTCCAGAGTTTCTCGATGAAAGTGTAAGGCCGCCAGCCTTGGAACACGCGGGCGCGCTCTTCGATGCATTTGACGGTTTGACTGCGGGGTAAGGGTGCTTTCTCTGAGTTGCGGATCGCGGGTTTGAAGGATTCGGTGCCGGAGGTCCATACTGTTGAGGGGGTGAAGTGGGGGTTGCTGCGGTTGTACTGTTAGTTGTGTTCGCTTCATCCATAAGTATGCAGCATCACTATTTCGAGGCATGTCCCATAGGAACCAGAGTCCCTTCTTATATCGTGGGATATCTCGAAGATGTAGCGACCAAGAACAGACGTACCTCAAAGCAACAACCTCCTTCCCCTCCTCCTCACCAACAAACCCCTCAATATACACCACCAACGGCTCCCGACTCAGCACGTAAACACCCTTGTATGTATGCGCCGCGCAACTCAGATTCCGCTCCGGAATCACCAAATTCTCTAGATTGGCTTTTACATCACCCCCACCTCTCGCACCAACGCTGTTGGACGATACCGCATCGCCACCCACATTCGAAGTAAGCAACGAGGACAAAGGCGCGCCCGCGAGTATATACGCTAGCGCAGCGAGGAATCCATACTGAAAAAACGACGTTATCGATAGCGAGGACGAATACGAGGCACCGGTCGACGACGATGCAGGCGCGGAAGAGGAACCAAGCATCGCAAAACCCACGCAACAAGAAACGACGACCTACGCGCAAGCCCCACGAAACAAAGAACAACGATAAGCAATAACCCAGATGCTCGACAGCGTAAATCACAAAAGAAGACACCGAAAGATTTGTAAAAGAGTAACGATGGGAAAGTCTACAAACTCACGAAAACCCACGCCCCTTCAAAAGGAAACAACCCAAGCACAATTCCCCTACCGCCCGCCGCACAGCGCACACACTCCGCCCAAATGATTTCATCTGCAATTACCGCTTACCGCTATCAAGGGTCCTTTCCGCGGCGGCGCACGCCTAGTCTCATCTCAGGTCTCACGTGTCATGTGTGCTTTATCGCGCGGAGTGGACTCTGTGCGTCAGATTATGCTCGGGACACACGACACGACCTACTTCTCCCTAGGCCGCTGAGTGGTACGTGCATAACCTAGGTATTTTACCTGAGCAAAGTGGCACCGTGGGTATATTTTGTTCCGAGAGTTGTTTACCCCTGGCTTAGGTAACTTACGGGTGAAATGTGGTTGGCGCGAAGGATCAGGGATGGGGGGGTTCGGGGTTAATTTGGATTCTGCGTGTGGTGGTGGTGGTGGCATGATTCATGGATAAGCTTGGCTTTGCAGCGGCGGCGATTTGGCATCCAGGGGGGCGGGACGGAGGGGTCTATGTCGCTTTTTTCTGGTAGGTGAGACTGGCATCCTGGTTGAAGGTAGAAATCTAGAATGGAGGGGCGGGCTGAGCTACCCCTCATGCGTGTGTACTTTTGGCACTTATACCGTGGTTCGCGAGAATGTTTTGTTGTTCAGTCGCTGCGACCAGGAACCAGGTCATCATATGCAAAGCTCTTCAGGTTACCAATGCATAATAATTATCGAAACAATGTCCTCGAATTGCACCTCTATAAACGCCACCCTAATGGTGCACAAAAAGGTATCAAAACAAAGAATACAAAAGGGGCAGAGCATGAAAACGAAGGTCAGATGAATGAGACTTTGTCGTAATGTCATCAATCTCTCTTGAAAATAAAAGACAGGCAGTTGGTATCCCAGAATCTACGCACACACACACACCCAAGGAAGAAGAACACTCGCTCGCATGCTGGGACCAAAGTCGTCACCTCGTGGGTTTCGGCATCATGTCTGCCTTTCTCAAATTATTCCAGAATACAAAGACTCTGGATGTCAAAAATATGCCATGGCATATGGTTTGCGCAATAGTGGTATCCTGTGGTCTCTACTGGACGTGAAGAATCCTTCTGTTTGTTCGGTGTTGATCCGCAGTCTTTCTCTGCCCTCCTCCGTCATGCTGGTTTCGCTCAGTCGAACGGACCGTAGCAAATTTGGTGAGATGGGCGGCGAGATTACTGTTTTCCACTGTTTTCTCGTTCATGCTGCTCGGCAACTTCACGCGCGTAAAACTCGACTAACATCGTTCCATAAGCCTCCATTTCTTCCAGAGGTACGGCGAGGCGGAAGTCATTTAATAGCAAAAATTGCAACTCCAGGTGGTTCAGTTCAACCAAGGGTAGACCGCCGACCTTGAACCTGTTAGCATGCGTTTTCATAATGTGTATCGGCCAACACAAACCTTTGCGTATCTCGAGTTTGTATAGAAGACGTCGGAGAAGAATTTGCTGGCGCATGTAACGCCGGCTATGACGAGACGATGTATGTTGAAGCTGTCAACAACAAAGAAGTGGGATAGATTCAGCGCATCCACGCCGAGATCTTGTTGCGATGGGGAGGGCGGCTGGGCATTGTCCCCTGGCGTTTGCGATGGCTTGCCCAAGGAGCCTGACGGAGGAGGGGTCGCCGCCTGAGCGGAAGCTGATGTAGGTCGTGCGTTTTCTGCCGGGGTCGGAGTTGCTGACATTGTAGACTTTGAGTGTTCAACAGACTGCTCATTAGCCTTGCGAAGACCAGATATAGGGCCAGCATTTACCCTCTCTGTCATTCTGTCGAAGTAGACGAGTAAACTCAAGAAGACCTCGTACGTAGTGGGGCAGTATTTGTGAATTCTACTCAGATAGCTGAGGATTGAGATGCTGGGGACGTTCTTGCCGTGGAAGGCCAGGACGCTGGTGGTCTGTTGACTCAAGCCCGCTGTGCCGTCTGATGGGGGGATTTGGCGGTGTAGATGGTCATGCTGCCGATCGTTGGTTGTTGTGATCTTGGTTAGGAGTCCGGCAACCATTTCGATTATATCTGAGACAGGCATCTCGCTGATTTCATATTGAGGCCCAACCTCTGCGGGGTCTCGTCGCTGCCGCCGTGCGAGCGAGCGCGACTGAGAGAAGGGACTGGACTCATCGATGGCAAAACTCTGGATGTGTGACAGACTCTTGACTTTGATGCGCGTAGGAGAAGCTTCCGGCGATCGTAGGGACTGTGCTGGCGAAGGCTGGGGAACGGTTCGCGTGTTTGCGACGGCGGGGTCTGTGCCCGAAGGCGTCGGCTGCTGCGAGCGGGGACGGAAAGTCGGACTGGGTGGTGTCGGTACTGCTTGGTCAGCAGCGGGTGCGGTGGAGTTTGGCTCTAAGCTGTTGTGCTGCTGCGATCGTTGGCTTGGTGTTGAGCTCGACTGCGGGGCTCCCGAATCCGCCATGGGAACATCAGCAGACGAAGCTACTGGCCGCGGCGCATTGGCGCTCGAAGACGGCGACGGGCGTACAGGCGTGTGATGGCCGGCAGGAGACTCTTGCGCCTGGTGCGTACTGCCGCCGCCAAACATGTTGGTGTGAAAGTGGTTCCCACCGAAGTCGCTCACCAGAAGCGAAGTCATTCCGCGCGAAACCAGGCTGTGCAGGTGTC